TGCGCTATGATTTTTTTGGATATGACTCCAAAAGCACAGGGAACAAAAGTAAAAATAAACAAATGTAATTACTTCAACTAAAAAAGCATTTGTATATCCAACGAAATGATTAGTAGAGTGAAAAGACAATTTAAAGAATGGGTGAAAATATTTACAAACCATACATCTAATTTCCTCATCAAAAATACAAAAGGAACTCAAACAACTCAACAGAAAGAAAGTAAATAACCCAATCTTAAAAAATTGGCACAGGATCTGAATAGACATTTCTCAAAAGAATAAATACAAATGGCCAATGTGTATATAAAAAATGCTCTATATCTTTAATTGTCAGGGAAACGCAAGTTAGAACCACAATGAGCTATCACTTCAGAACTGTTAGAATTGTTACCAAAAGGAAGAAAGACAAGAAGTCTTTCTTCATAGAAAAGGAAATTTTGCATGTCATTGGTGAGCATATAAATTATTGTAGTCATATTGGAAAACTGCATGGCAGTTCCTCAAATAATTAAAAATAGAACTACCATATGATCAAGCAATCCCATTTCTGGACATATATTCAAAATTGAATTCAATATGTCAAAGAGACATCTGTGCTCCCACATTCCTTGAGCCAATATTCACAAATAGCCAAGATATGGAATATCTGAGTGCCTATCCATTGATGAATAGATAAAAGAAATATGACACACACACACACACACACACACACACAGTGTAATGCTATTCAGCCTTGGAAGAAGAAGGAACTCCTGTCATTTGTGACAACATGGGTGAACCTGGAAGATATAAGTGAAATAAGCCAGGCACAGACAAACAAATAACACATGATCTCCCTTATACCTAAAACCTGAGAGAACGGCAGTTACCAGGGGTGGAGAATTGGGGAGATGTTGGTCAAATAATAGAAAAATTCAGTTACATAACAGGATCAAGTCCAAGAAATCCATTGCACAACATGGTGACTAGAGTTAGTAAAAAGGTATTATATTCTTGAAAATGGCCAAGAGGAGATTCTGAGTGTTCTAACCAGAAAAACAGGTATGTGAGGTAATACATACATTACTTAGCTTGATATAACCTTGCATGGTGTATATATATTTCAAAAATTATGTTGTACATGATAAATATATATATATAAAATCTTATCAGTTAAAGTTTAGAAAATAAAAAACATGGTACATGCCACCTCACTAGTCCCAGTGATCAATTTCTGTTCACAATTGATCGTAATGATAGGACTAAGGACCAAAAGGATCACATAAACAAGAATAGTGTCTGCAAATACTAGCTGATAGAATCAAAAAGGGAGAGAATGATCCAACATGGGAAGTGAGATACAGAGCAGACCCATAGAATGGCAAATGTCCTAACAGCACTCGGCCTCATAATCAGCCCTTAAGGCATGCGGATCCGGCTGAAATGCCCATGAGAGTATTTCAGGCATGGAAAGCCAAGACACTCTGGGGGGGGGGGAACTAAATGAAAGATCTCCATGAGTGAGATCCCAGTGGAAAGAACAGGTCTTCAAAGAAGGAGGTACCTTTCTCTGAAGGGAGGAGAAAACTTCCACTTTGACCATGGCCTTGTCTAAAAATTATCAGAGTCAGTGAACTCAGGGGGCTTCCATAGCCTTGGCAGCTCATGACAAGAGCCTAGGGTGATTACTGAGGCCATAAACAAGAGTGTCAATTTGTTAAGTCAACAACAGGAGTCACTGTGCACTTACTCCTCATGTAGGATCTTTGTCCTTGGTGTGCTGTACATTGAGATTTAATGCTGTAGCTAGTGCTCAGACAGTATTTTTCACTTTGTGTTTCTGTGTGGCAGCAAACTGTTGAAATCTTTGCTTGGTGTATGCTAAACTGATCTTCTGTATATAAAGAGAATCGAAAGTGGATCTTGATGTGAATGGAGGGGGAGAGGGAATGGATAAGGGGAGGGTTGCGGGTGGGAGGGCCGTTATGGGGGGGAAGCCATTGTGATCAATATTCTGTACTTTGGAAATTTATATTCATTAAATAAAAGCTAAAAAAAAAGAGATTACTCTGATAGGAAAGAAATAACCCTGAAGAAAAAAAAAAGAAAATAAAAAACAAGAAGAAGAAATTCGGACACAGAGGAACACCAGGGGAAAGACAATTTGAGGACATAGTTTGAATGTGGCCATCTATAAACCAAGGAGATCTCAGGAGAAAACAAATTTGTGGGTACCTTTAACATTGCTTTTCTGGCCTCAGAACTATAAGGAAATAAATTTGTCTTTAAACCACCCATTCAAAATAATGGCAGACATAGCAAATTAACCAACTAGTTATTCTTCAACCATGTCTTTTGCAGTCAGAGGAGTTTTAATGAGTGTGGCTAGCCCAGGGCCTGGATATCTCAGATCTGTTGATCCCTATGTGACTACTGTACATTCAAAATGTGGCTAGCCCAATTTTAGATTATATGTGTAAAATACATCATAGTTATGAAAACCTAGTATGCAAATAATCCAAAATATTTTACTAATAAATATTTATAATAATTACATATTGTGATGATAATATTTTATATATTTGGGGTTAGACAGAAACATAACACATCATCAGAATTAATCTAAATCAGCTTTTTACTTGAATGTGGCTACCAGAAAATTTAAAATTTTCTATAGGTGTGTGTGTGTGTGTGTGTGTGTGCATTATATTTCTGTTAGGTAGCATTGTTCCAGATGTTTAAAAAAAATCTTTTGAGTAGTGAGAATCTATCATTAGTCTCCTGAGACCACATCTATCCTGAGATTAATTGTGAAATGCAGCTACAGAGGCTACAATGATCAAAAAAGCTACAGAGTATAATCTGGTGTGTCAGTTTGTATTTTTGCTGCAGACAACAGAAACCACCCAACCACCATGTGCAGAAAAATGACCTAGAAATAAATCAGGATAGGACACAGAATTGGTGTTAGGGCTTCAGAACCAGATGAGTTAGAACCAAAAGTCCCCCTGCTTGAGCACTCGGGTTAGTATGGCTGCTGTATCACTTCTCTGGGCACTTGTGGCCACCTCTGATGGAGCCTCTATGTAGATTATTTTCCTGGATTATGACAGGGCTTCAGGGTGATTCCTCAACTCTGCATACATCTGGTCACTCTTCCAAGGTCAGAGTAGCAGGTTCCAGGAAATAAGTGAAGGAGGTTGGCCACTATTACAGCCTGCACTGCTGAAGGCAGCAAGAGGGAGGATCTGGCTCCTTAACTCTTGAAGGAGGCCAAGACTCTCATCATAGGGATCTAGCCACATGAAACATAGGATGATTGTAGACCAAAAAACAAAACAACATAAAAATATCCAGACCTTTCCCTCCAAAAAAAATTCAGACCAACACAAAATAATACTTTTCCCCAAGACTGTCTTCATTGTTGGAAAAAACTCAAAATTTACAATTAAATCTGTATGCAACTTATGTAATAAACACTAATATAGAATGTAGCATGTTTTAGTCACTCTTCCAAGTGCTATATGAATACTGAGTTGACTAATTGTCACATCAACACATTGTCATCATTATCTCTATTTTATAGAGGGTAAACTTAGGCCTAAAGAAGTAATATAACATGGTCAACATTATACATCAAGAAAATGGTAGGAGAGAGACTTGAAGCTAAGAAGTCTGGGGCTCCAGGACCAATATTTTAACCACCACAATACATTGCTTTTTGCAATGCTAGTTTTTATTTGTACATATACTTAAGAAAATGTCCCATAAGCAAGGTATCATTTATTCCATTAGGTGGGTTCTGTCCTCTGGACTATATTCCTTGTGTTTATATAAAGTCCTGAGTCAATAGAACCCCTTCTCATATTTTGGAGTTGTTGATTAGAGTGACATAATGAGGAGCTGCAATCAAGCAACTTATGCCCAGAGTTGAAAGACCAGATCAACAGCAGATGTTACAAGAAAGTTAATGAAGACAAAATACTCCATGTCCTTTTATTCTCCTGGAGATTCCTATTTTAAGGAACGTTTCTTCCAGGTAGATAATTAGGCATGAGCAGCTGGGGAAAGGCCATGAAACCCTCATGCAGGGAGGAAGCAGGGACCCACCCAAGATGCTCACTCTGCAGTTGAACTTGTGGTTAAAGTATCCTGATAAAATGGGAATTTAGCCAAACTAGAAAACTCTAGTTTACAGCCACATGTGCAGAGAGCCAGAAGGTATGCAACTCCCAGATGTCAATCACAAAGGAACATCATGGCCACACTGCGAGTCACTGCTCCTCATACTTCAGGGATAAAACCTACAAACCAGGAAGAAAGGCTTCCAAGTGCTCTCACCTGGCCTGTTCCTTCCTTGGGATGTCCTTTCATAAACTCTTGCTTTATTATCCCTACTTCTGTGTCCTGAACTGTAATTCATTATCTGTCTGGGAAAAGGATTTGAAGCAAGCTGGCTGCCACTGGTGACACTTTCAAATCTTTTTGTATATAATTCTTTCTTCTTGCCCCCTTATGTGATCATTCAATTGTATTCATATATATATATATATATAAATTACATATATATAAATATCAATTACATATATATGTAGGTATATGTATGTAATTGAATATATATATATATTTAAAGTTCAATTTAAGCATAATGATATATTGAGTACTTACCCAGGGTCAGACATGTGTTTAGGAATATCAATTCATTCAAGCCAGAAATTGTGAAAGTGAAAGAACTTTTTTGGAGTCTTAGGAACTACAATTCAGGAACCAGATTGAGTTTAGCACTGAGAAGGGTGCTCTGAAGAAGGTAGGGAAAGTAGAGGTTTATGTAGGCAAGCAGTGCTGACTTATTACAGAACAGTAGAAAGTCCTTTGTAGGAAACAACTGAATCTTGAGAGAGAACAGGGATTACATGTCTGATAGAAGATAAGAATATATACACTTAGTAAAAACATCCATAAAATAAGAGTCCAATAAATTCTTAGCCTATATCTTTAGTCTCAGGATGCAGTATAATTACCTGGGCCTTCCCATCTTTTCAGATGCTTGTAGTCAAAGGGTGTAGGTTGTCAAAGTTCATGTTTCCAGGCTTGAAGGGAACAAAATTCCCATTTTCTTAATGGTCTCCAGACTCCATCTTGAAAAGCTCTCTCAATGTTTGTTTCCTCTTGATTTAAGAACAAAGAGATAAAACTTGGCTTCTGCCCTTGAATTTCTGTCAGCCTAATTCAGATTTTTAAAAGGTGAAGCTGTTTCTTGCACTGAGAAAGCAGATAGCTATCAGCCTTTATCATGAATTTCCATTAAAAGAAAAAAATTCTTATCTTTCTAAAGAGGAAGTCTGATTTTGATAGTTTTCACTTTAGAAAAAAGAAATTTTGCTATGGCTGATATAATAGTTGTGATATTCATAATCACTTCTGATTTAAGAGAAAATGTCATTACTTTTAAAACTCACGTAAGAAATGTGAGAACTAGGACCTTCCTACTCTCTTAATGTCTTATTTCACTGATCCTGAAACCACAGATACAAGGTAAATCAAGCGCATGAACACCTGTTTGCTAACTGCCATTTCCGTTTATCTCACATCTTGAGCAAGTCTGAGTTTTATGACCACTCCAAAGATCTCTTTCTCAACTTGGATTTATTGCCCTTTCCTTAGAAACTTTCTTGTCTAATGGTCTCCTTAGTATAGATTAGAAATTAGAAACAAATGTTTTCTCTGATGAGTAGTTGTTCTCACATATGTACAAACAGGAATTAGAGATACTTGCTGGAGATGAAATTACCTTTTCTATGTTTCTTCTACGGAATTCACACATTGCACAAACATTTGGGGCCTTTCACAAGGTTCAGTGAGGTGCCACCTGATGACATATGCTGGGTGTTGGTCTGAATTTCCTGATTTCATATGCCTGGTATTTCTTTTATCACATTGGTACTTCTCATATAATCACATTCTGTGATCCTTGGGTGTTATCTGCATATCACAAATATACAACTTCAGGGTTGGTGGGAAGCTTACCTCTTGGCATACACAGGTGCTCCCGCTTATACTTTGTTATTTATTTATTTATTTTTGACAGGCAGAATGGACAGTGAGAGAGAGAGACAGAGAGAAATGTCTTCCTTTGCCGTTGGTTCACCCTCCAATGGCTGACGCGGCCGGCGTGCTGTAGCCAGCGCATCGCGCTGATCTGAAGCCAGGAGCCAGGTACTTATCCTGGTCTCCCATGGGGTGCAGGGCCCAAGCACTTGGGCCATCCTCCACTGCCCTCCCTGGCCACAGCAGAGAGCTGGCCTGGAAGGGGGGCAACCGGGACAGAATCCGGCGCCCCAACTGGGACTAGAACCTGGTGTGCCGGCGCCGCAGGCGGAGGATTAGCCTAGTGAGCCGAGGCGCTGGCTTCCAGCTTATACTTAAGAACATGTTTACAAATGCACTGGCGCAGGCATTTGGAGGAGCAGTTAAGTGGCTGCTTGGGAGGCTTGCATTCCATATCAAAGCGCCTGGTTCAAATCCTGGCTATTTCATTCTGTTTTTGATCCAGCTTCCTGCTAATACGTATTCGGGGAAGGCAGCAGATATGGGTCCAACTATTTGGGTCCCTGCCATCCATGCAGGAGACCCAGACTGAATTCCAGACTCCTGGCGTTGGCTGACTGTTGCAGGCATTTAGGGAAGTGCACCAGCAGATGGAAGATTTTTCTGTTTATCTCTCTTTGCCTTTCAAATAAAATGGAAATAAATTTAAAAATTTTAAATCATGATGAAACATGGATAAGAGTGAGCTATACAAAATTAAGCCTATAGAATTGGAGAGTTACCAACTTTTATAATAGAATGGGATGGGGGAGCAGGGGCTGTGGGTGCAGCAGGTTAAAGCCCTGGCCTGAGGTGCTGGCATCCCATATGGGCACCGGTTCTAGTCCTGGCTGTTCCACTTCCGATCTAGCTCTCTGCTATGGCCTGGGAGAGCAGTGGTGGATGGCCCAAGTCTTTGGGCCCCTGCATCCACATGGGAGACCCGGAGGAAGCTCCTGGCTCCTGGCTTTGGACTGGTGCAGCTCTGGCTGTTGCGGCTATCTGGGGAGTGAACCGGTGGATGGAGGACCTCTCTCTCTGTCTCTACCTCTCTGTGTAACTCTGTCTTTCAAATAAATAAAATAAATCTTAAAAAAAAATAAAGAATGGGATGGGGAAGACAGAGTTCGGATATATGCAGTATTGGGGAAAAAAAAAAAAAGACAGTGAATAAGCTAATTGGTCCATAGGAGCACATTGGGAACTATATAACTTATCATTCATATCAGAACACATTTCAGGATAGAAGAGTTACTATTAATACTTGCTTGAAACAATCTACATAGGTTTGGCAAACCAGAATAGACTTGGCCAATTTAAAAAGAGAGAGAAAAAAGCGATTGTCCATTAAGAACCTCAGGATTTCAACAGGCCTGGTGAAGATGTTTATGGGATTGCTCAAACTAAGATTTGACTTCTGTACAACTGTCCAGAAATTTAAGTCTCTAGTAAAAGGGAAAAAGAGTTTGATTTCCAAAAGACTTTCCAGATGACACGCCCTGTGTGTTGAAGCCTCTGGGTCTTCTTGTCATTTTGGCGTCCCAGAGGCTTGCATGGGTATTGATAACCAATTATTGCATGCTTCTACCGAGGGAGATTTTGGGATCAGACAGGTTTTCTCTGCAGCCTCTCAAAGTGTCTTTAATTTGGTCGAATGACAAGGGAATCAGAAATCTCAGGCCAATGTAGGATACCACGGAAATCCTAGGGCCATTCACAACTTTCCTACCAATTTAGGCTTGTCTGTAGAATCATTTCAACTGCCGGTATCAGTTTAGAAGTTAGGGAGGAAGAATCCCACCTCCATTCTTTTAGGGTCCTAGCTAGGCACAAAAGATAAATTAACAGGAGAACATAGGAACTTATTCAAGTTTTACATATGAGAGTTCTCGCAAGGAAGTGAAGACCACAAAAAGCAGAGTCAATCACTTATATGCTGTATTGGAGCAGAAATATTAAGTTGTGAACCGTGTTTAGGCACAGGGGCTTGGTCTGGGCTAGTTCACTGGGAAGTCGCCTAGGAAGAAGAGGGTTAGTTTAACACGGCTTGTTCGCAGACTCCTGCCAATCTCTCCTCTTCAGAAGCAATTACTTCAGATGGAGGACAGCTTTTACATAGGGATTTCAGCTGCCGTTTTTAAGAAACAGAAGATCAGCGTGGTCTTCAAGTGCTTTTTTTTTTTTTTTTAAAGTGCTTTTAACTCAAAATAGTCCATGTGCCATGTCAGCATACTCCAGGGCGGCAGATTCTTAACTCTTCACCGCCAAAAGCCCTGAATATACTGATTAGAGAACGGAGAATCTCAGCTAAGGTTTGTCAAGTGTGCAGGGCACTCGACTGCCCGCGTGCCACCACCTTACTCCTCGCATTTAATCATACGTCCTCCACACCGTTGCTGTTCTCAAGATGAAACTTAGCCTCTGAAAACTAAGCGACTCCAAGGTGACAACTGTAACTGCGGCTAGGCGAGAGGCTCCAAGCTTGGTCCTCTTTCCTGCTCTGCCACCTACTAGTCCGGGCACTTGTGCCCTGAGATGTTGGGGTAGGTGCATGGTAGCGCCACTCATTGCTTTCTCCTTTGGCAGGCCCTGGAGCCCACATCCCTTTCACTAATGCGCTCAGCGAAGTGCGCAGAGTCCGGAAGAGAAGCCACAGAGAACCTGCGAAAACCAGCGGGTGCGACAAGAGAAAGCTCGCCAGGCTTCCCCCTAAAACTACGGAGGCCGCACGACCGGAACCTAGCCCGCATTCAAGATGGCGGCACTGGCGTCAGAAGCCGACTTGCCCTTCTCCATCATGGCGGTGACCGGACCCGCCTCCTTGGGTGCCAGTGTCATGTGACCCACACAATGGCTGAGAGCCTGTTCCAGGCTTCCCGGCAACGCCAAGGGAAAGTCATGACGGCCGCCGCGGGTTCGGCGGGCCGCGCCGCGGTGCCCCTGCTGCTGTGCGCACTGCTGGCGCCCGGTGGCGGGTACGTGCTCGACGACTCCGACGGGCTGGGCCTGGAGTTCGACGGCGTCGGCGCTGTCAGCGGCGGCGGGGTGAGAGGCCTGCGGCCAGGGGACTAGGGGCTGTCAGGTGCCGGTCCCCGCCCGCCCCAGAAGCCCCTGCGGCATTTTCCCGCGTTTCGCCTCGGCTCCGGGTCCCGTCAGCGGGCGCTGCCGCTGCGGTCCGGCCAGGCGACTGCTAATTAAGATGAATGTAGAGAGGCAGTTAGGTTTGAACGGAGGGTCGGGAGGTCCAGAGTTAGTGGCAGGTGTAGGTAGTGACGAGGCAGGACCCGGGCCCTCCTCCTAGGCAGCGGGGGCTGTGCACTCTCCTTGTGAGGGGACGGAACTCGGGGCGGGGAGGGGTCGCTTCGGAAGGGACGGAGGGACCCGGGAGGGGCCCGTGCCGAAGGGGACACCCTAGTGGGTGGCCTTGGCGGTGTCTCCCACATTTTAGGGAGCGGATGAGCCTGGGAGTGGGGAACCCCAGGTCACTAGGGTATGGCAGGTTCCTTCTGAGGAGCCACAGTGGAATAACTTTTTTTTAATTTTAAGTTAGTCTACTTTAAATTTTTAAAGAGTTATTTATTTATTTGAAAGGCAGAACGACACTGAGAGAGGGAGAGACAGGGGAAGAGCGAGCTTCTGTCTGCTGGTTCATTATCCGTATGCCCTGCACTGCCAGGTCTGAGCCAGGAGCCAGGGACTTGGGGGGCGGGGCTGGGCCATTGTCACCTGCTGCTTTCCCCGGCTCGTTAGCAGGGAGCTGGATCGGAAGCAGAGTAGCCGGGACTCCAGTCAACTGGGCAAGCCATGGCTTAGTCCTCTGCGTCTCAATGCCCACGTTCCCCACTTTTTTGGGGTATGGGGGTGAGAGGCAGATTTAGGGTCCGCCAGTTCTCAAATGCCGGCAACAATCCTGGCTGAACTAAGCCCAAGCCAGGAGCTGAACTCCATCATGTGGGGTAGCAGGGGCCATTATCTGTTGCTTCCCAAGTTTTTTAACAAGAAGCTGGATTGAAAGCAGAACCCAGCTGGGATGTAACCCAGACATTTTGATAAGGGATGTGATTGTACCAAGTGGTCTTAAACCTTAATGCTGTGCCAGACCCCTCCCCGCTCCCGTTTTTGATTTGGAGGTGTGACTGGTGTCTTAAGGTCTCTTTATGAAGCTATGAGGCCTGAAATTATCTTGGACTCTTTTTTTTTAAATAAGGGAAGGATGTACTTATCCACTGATAGTTGAGGATATTTAGTTTATGGAAAGATTTTTAAGACTGTAAGAGTGTTCTCTTATCTGATGGCCAGTTTCTTCTATTAGAGTGCTAGGTTTGTCACAGCCAGTATTATTTTTTTTTAACTTTGATTTAATGAATATAAATTTCCAAAGTACGATTTATGGATTACAATGGCTTCCCCCCCATACCGTCCCTCCCACCCACAACCCTCCCCTTTCCCACTCCCTCTCCCCTTCCATTCACATCAAGATTCATTTTCGATTATCTTAATATACAGAAGATCAGCTTAGTATACATTAAGTAAGGATTTCAACAGTTTGCTCCCACACAGAAACATAAAGTGAAAAATAATAGATGATTTTTTTTAAATGATGATGAAATCAGATCAGACCTATTGTCATGTTTAATCCCAGTGAGAGTCAAGTTGGGAGTTGATAATTTCTTTTCTTTCTTTTTTTTTTTTTTTTTTACAGAGGATCAGTTTAGTATGCATTAAGTAAAGATTTCAACAGTTTGCACCCCCATAGAAACACAAAGTGAAATATATTGTTTGAGTACTCGTTATAGCATTAAATCTCAATGCACAGCACATTAAGGACAGAGATCCTACATGAGGAGTAAGTGCACAGTGACTCCTGTTGTTGACTTTACCAATTGACACTCCTGTCTATGGCATCAGTAATCTCCCTATGCTCCAGTCATGAGTTTCCAAGGCTATGGAAGCCCTCTGAGTTCTCCGATTCTTATCTTGTTTAGACAAGGTCATAGTCAAAGTGGAGGTTCTCTCCTCCCTTCAGAGAAAGGTACCTCCTTCTTTGAAGACCTGTTCTTTCCACTGGGATCTCACTCACAGAGATCTTTTGCCAGAGCACAGCCAGTATTATTAAAATTTACACTTCTTTCAGATTTTCTTATTTTTTATCCAAAACTTCCTGTTCCAGGATTTCAACCACAGTGCTACATTGCATTTAATTGGCATGTATTCTTAGGCTTCTCTTGGCTGGAATAGCTGGGATGACTTCGTTTATGTAGGTGATTGTAGAATTTACCTGAAAAGAAACAAGGGGAATTACAGTTTTATGCAACACTGTGAATGGGCTCAGCTGGTCATTTTCTTAACTCATGCCTAAGGGTGAATTCCAGGAGTGGTGTTATTTTCAGTGGCATGATTGTTCTTGGCTCCTCACAAAAGTTGCTTGTCTCTGTCACATGCTCACTGTAACCTTTATTTTGTTATCTTCTTTTTATAACCTTTAGGCCAATGGGATTTATGGTGCTAGATATTTAGGTGAGAGGGTTTTTGTGCTTTGTTTTGTACCCCAGGTCACATTTAAAAACTATTTTTTATTTGAAAATGCTAGGGCAGGACTCTTAAACTCTTGATTTTGTTGAGTTGGACAGATGGAGCTTGCAGTCTTAGATCCAACTCAGAGGAAATTTGAGGACTTGCTTGTAGCTTGGGTGATGTGACCTGTAGAGTGCTCATAGTGATTTTTCTTAAGAAATGTTTTCCTGGTTCAAATGACTTTTCTTGATTTTTAAACCGTTATTACCTAATTTTCAACCTCATCTGATGCATATTTTAGGGAGAACCTGAAGGGCTAATGAGCTTGTGCATTTGTTTTTTTATCATTACCATACTCCTTTATAATATATATATGTATTTTATATATGTATTTGTCTAAATCTGAGATAACCAATATTTCATAAAATTAGACCTCAATCTCCCCTTCTGAAACCTTGATTGTGATATTAGATCTAACTTATTAGCTTACTGAAAAATGGAAGTTTTTGGCTATATTTTGTTTAGCTCTGTATAAAATTATTAAGATGAGAAGAAGCATTTCATTACTCAGAATAGGAAACTCCTATCTAATCTGATTGAGTATCCAACAGTTAATAGTACCTCTAGGTATAGTGCATCACTCATCTTAGAAGCTCAATAAGCAGTGAATGAAAATTGTTGCAACACTATAGTTTTACACCAATTTAAACTTCTATATGGAGTCCCTGGTACCTGGCACAGTTTGTGGGAGTGTTTAGAATGGTTTCACGTAATCTTCATATCAGATAGGGGAAGCATTTGGGTGCAGTAATGTGGACACATAGTAGGAGGCCATGCATAACTTTTTTCATAATGTGTATTTTGCATTAAGTTTTTGAAGACCCCTTGTATGTATGCATTTCAAATTCTTTTAATTCCATTTTTTCATTTTGAAGTATCCTCATGTAGTGTTCATTCATTTAAAGAGAGTCTACTTTAATATTTGAGATTCTGCTAAGCTCTTTGAGTACCGTGTAATTAAAAATTTGTATAGACAATGCTTGTCATTTATTTATAGCTTACAATGTGCCAGGTGTTGTGCAATGTCTTTTACATACAATTTATTTTAGTCTTAAAACTGCTGAATGGGTTGTAGTAATTTGCCTTTGGTCGCATAGCTTATAAATGACAGAATCAGTATGCAACCTCCATTTGACTCAATGCCACTTACATTAGGTTGCCTGCTCCAGTGCAATCACAACAAAGTCATAAAAGACAAGTGCTTATTAAAAAACAAAGAATGAAGATATGAACTTGAATGAGACACAGTTCATGTCCTCAGGGAATTTAGAGGTGAGACAGAAAGGTAAAGCAGTAATTAGGGCACTGGGTTCCAAGTGTGATGGTAGAGATATGGACCTGGAGTCAAGGGATTTTAAATCAGGAGTACTTGATGAAATCAACTGGGAGAGGAAGAAGCCATTCTTCCTTGAAGAGGTGGAGTGTGTGCTCAGAGCTGAAGATGAGTTGGAGTTGTCCAAATGAGGATGTGGAGTTTATTCCAGGTAGAAGGAAAGGATAAGAAAAAGCCATGTCAGGATAGAAGATAAGAGATTGATAAGGGGTAAAATATCAGAGTTAGGGTTCAATAGTTAAGGGATTTGGGTGTAAAACTGAGCAATTTGAGTTTTCTCTTTAGCAGATTTGAACATGACAGTTAAAAAATGTTTATTTTACTTGAGAGGCAGAGCAACAGAGAGGGAGAGAAACACACACACAACACACACACAGGGAGAGAGAGAGGGAGATCTTCCATCTGCTGTTTCTTTCCTCAGATGTCCACAACAACCTGTCCTGGGCCAAGCTGAAGCCAGGAGCCCAGAGCTCCATTTAGGTCTCTCCCTTGGGTGGCAGGGGTCCAAGTACTTTGGGCCATTCTCTAATGTTTTTCTCAAGCCATTAATAAGGTTCGAAAGTGAAGCACCTGGGAAAGACACTGGCACCCATATGGGATGTCGGTGTTGCTTTATCCACTACACCACAATGCTGACCCCTCGTGTGGTATCTTAGCCACTGTGCCAAATGCTGCCCCTCAAGATTACATTTGTATTTTGGGAAGATAAGTCTGATAAATGGTGTGGTGTGTAAGATACAGGGAAGCAGTTAGAGGGCTCGAGACCATTTATGCTGTTCTAATTAGTGAGGAGGTCCTAGGTTCAGACAATAGGGTTGAAGAGTAGGTGGTGCATTTGAGAGATATTAAGGACTTAATAGTGACTGAAGATGGATATGAAGTTTGATGAAAGGATCACCCCTAATTTATGGTTAGGGATTTTTTTTTCAACTGCTTCTACTTTTCATTTTTTGGTCACAATTTACATGGTTTTATTATTTGTATACCTTAACAAATTATTGAAAGTGTTTTTTTTTTTTAAAGTTCTGTTTATTTATTTGAAAAACAGAGCAACAGACAGAGATTTTCCACCCACTGGTACGTGCCTGAAATATCTGCAACATTCAGGGCTGGGCCATTCTGAAGCCAGGAGCCTGAATTCAAACCAGTTCTCCTAAGTGGGTGGCAAGGATCCAAATACTTGGGATACCTCTTGCTATATCACAGGGTTCACATTTGCAGGAAGTTTGTATCAGAAATGGAGCCAGAACTTGGTCCCAGGCACTCCAATATGGAATTGAAGTACCCCAAGTGGAGTCTTAACTACTAAGCTAAATGCTCACCCTAGTTGTTTTTAAGTTTCATCTTTTAACCTTTATACTAAAAGATATACTTGATTTTCATTTTGCCATTACAATATTTTTATGCTTTGGATTTGACAGAGTACTTACTTTTAGATATAACCCGTGAGTTTTATACATTCATATATTTTCATGTTAACATTTAGCAGCCTCTTCCTTCAGGTAGTATTCTCTTAAGTATTTCTGTTTTTTAAATTTTAATTAATATAATATAATATAAATATATATTAAATATATATTAAATATAATATAATATAAAGTGAACAGATTCCATGTGTTTCATTGGTATAATTCTAAGAAAATAATCAGACTTCCGCTCTCCCTCAATCCCCTTCCTTCTTTTTTTTTCTTTAGTTTTTAAAAAAACATAAACTCAGTCCATAGGCTTAATGCATCATTAATCACAATATTCAGCAAATTAAAAAATAGACCTCAGTTCCACAGGAGCATAAACAAGGGCTGAAAACAACAATCAGCACTTAGCAAGATCACAAATGTATGAGAATGTTCAGATTTAGGCAAAAATATTATGTTTGGTTTGGATGTGTTGAACTAAACAGAACAGGTGACAAGAGAGCAGTTCTGTAGCTCGGTGGCAGGAACTGAAGAGGTTCTGGGTGCATGAGAGAGTAGATATGGGTACTTCTAGAATGTTAGTGGTAGGATATATGAGAGTATGCTATAGAAAGTCAACTTTTTATAACCCAGTGAAAGTCAAGTATCTTGCCCTGTCATACACCCAGGGTGATTTAACCCTAGGAATATCTGGCTTCTAATGTATTATTTTTTTTAATTTTAATTTTTTTTTGACAGGCAGAGTTAGAGAGAGAGAGAGAGAGGGAGAGAGAGAAACAGAGAGAAAGGTCTTCCTTTTTCCATTGGTTCACCCCCCAAGTGGCCTCTACGGCTGCTAGCCGGTGCTCTGCACTGATCCAAAGCCAGGAGCCAGGTGTTTCCTCCTGGTCTCCCACACGGGTGCAGGGCCCAAGGACTTGGGGCATCCTCCACTGCACTCCTGAGCCACAGCAGAGAGCTGGACTGGAAGAGGAGCAACTGGGCAGAATCTGGCGCCCCAACCAGGACTAGAACCCGGGGTGCCAGCGCTGCAGGCAGAGGATTAGCCTAGTGAGCTGCGGCGCCGGCCATATCTGGCTTCTAAACCTAGGAACACGTTACTGGTTGGTGCCAAAAAATTACCTGTTTTATTTCCTTTGCTTATATTGCTCTTAAAAGATAGGCTATCAGTCAGTTACTGGTTTTGTGCTTTCTTTTTTTCCAGTAGTTATTGGCCATGGTCTTAGTATGATTGGTCCCTGAACTTTCCATTTTTGTCTTTCCATGGCTTCTGAAGCCAATCTTGTGTGAGGCTTCCATAGTATGGTCTGGTCAGGGTGGTGACTGGGTGGTAATTCTTAATAGTAACAGAACTTGTGATGAGGAGGATGGTGCATACATCCTTTCAACATTGCTGCTTATAACATTTTCCTGCAAGATGGTTAAGGGAAAATTATCCTAGATTCATCTCACCCATCCTAGTCCTGAGAGACTTTTGTTGATAAATGATCTTAAGATAGAAAACCTAAGTTTCAAGGTAAGTTTGTAATCGCAAGATTCAACAAAGGCCTTAGAAAGCTTCTCTCCTTGCCAGTCCTCATCCCAGCAGAATGCCACCTTTTAGCTGGTGTGCCAACAATGTCCCTGTTTGCCCAGTGATTAGCAGGGCAAAGGCAGCCAGCCAACCTGAGAAGTGACTCTCCACGGAGCCACCTTGCCCAAGAACTGGCTAAGCATGAGCATGAGCTTTATAGGCAAGCATTTGTGACTGGATATGTTTTATTCATACTTTTAAAAACTTTTTTTTTTCCAGGCAACATCTCGACTTCTAGTAAATTACCCAGAACCCTATCGTTCTGAAATATTGGATTATCTCTTTAAGGTAATGAAAAAATAATCATTTAATAGTACATGTGATATTTTAGAAATTGGTGAATTTCATCCATAGAATTTATCAGCTTCACAATTCTAGTTTTTTAAAAACAATTTTATTATTTGGCAGAGAGAGAGAGAGAGAACAAGTAAGCAAGTACTCTTATATACTGTTTCACTTCTCACATGTCCATGATGGACTGGGCTGGGCCAGGCCAGGCTGAAGCCAGGAATTTAATATAGGTGTCCCACATGAGTGGTAGGAACACAATTACTTCAGCTGTCACTGCTGCCTTCCAGGATCTGCATTAGCAGGAAACTGGAATCAGGACCAAGAGGCAGATGATGAACCCAGGTACTCTGATATGGAATGCAGGTGTCTTGACTGCTTGATCATATGATGCTCCTTGATTTTGGTTTGTGAAAAATGGCAAATTGCTTTTTGGGATCAGTTGCTATTTAAAGTTTTGCTTTTGTTTTCTCATCCTTAAAACCCAAAGGTCAAAGGCAGTAACAAATAATTGTCTTGAAGCTTCATAGGATGAAGCACAGTGTTAATATTTTTACTTCTTTCCACAGCCAAACTTTGGTGCCTCTTTGCATATTCTAAAAGTCGAAATAGGTGGTGATGGGCAGACAACAGGTAGGAGTATTTGGGAAATAGGAGTCCTCCTTCCCCAACATTTTAATCTATATCTAACCACGTGGACTATGATTTCAGAATATAAATAATACCAACACTTGAAGCTGATTGCTGCCTAGTAGATTGTTCTTCACTGTTCTTTGTTAACTGTCATTTAACAAAAATATATAGAAATATGAGTTTCACATCAAAAATAGTATTCAGACTTTAACTTGCTTATGTCGTTGAAGTTTTCTTAAAACTGTGAATTAAACAGAGCAAAGGGACAGTTAGTTTTATTGAGAAATTCAAAAGTTATAAAAGAAAGACCTTAATTTTGTGTAGAACATATAGGGCATCATTAACTTTAATTTTTTTTAAAGATTTATTTGAAAGTCAGAGTTACATAGAGAGAGGAGGCAGAGAGGGAGAGAAAGGTCTTCCATCTGTTGGTTCTCTCCCTCATTGGTCGCAGTGGCCAGAGCTGTGCTGATCCAAAGCCAGGAGCCAGGAGTTTCTTCTGGATCTCCCATGTGGATCCAGGGGCCCAAGGGCTTGAGCCATGTTCTATTGCTTTCTCAGGCCATAGCAGAGAGCTGGATTGGAAGTGGAGCAGTTGGGACTCGAATGGGTGCCCATATGGGATTCTGGCACTGCAGGTGGCAGCTTTACCCAATATGCCACATTGCCGGCCTCAGGTATCATTAACTTTAAATATGTGGCAAAAATATAAGTGGTCAGTATTTTGAAGATGTAGCTTTTAAATTTATTTATTAACTTTTTTAAATTTTAAAGTAAAAACTATTTTTAATCCCACTCAATCCCCAATCTTCATTGTCAACATTTTAATTGGCTTTGTTTAGTACATACTATCAAGTGGCAAAAGGCCTGTGCTTTCAGGAAGAAGAGAAAACAATTTAAGTCTCTCAGTGATTAGATATCGCTCATTATTTGTAGGTCAGATTTCATTATAATTAACTCTAGAGTATATCTTCTATCTGTGCTGCTGCTAGTGATTGGAAGTGATTTTTTAAAAAGATTTTATTTAGTTATTTGAGAGGTAGAGTTACAGACAGAGAGGGAGAGACAGAAAGGCATTCCATCTGCTGTTCACTCCCCAAATGGCCACAATGGCTGGAGCTGAGCCAATCTGAAGCCAAGAGCCAGGAGCTTCTTCCAGTTCTCCCACACAGGTGCCGTGGTCCAAGGACTTGGGTGGTCTTCCACTGCTTTCCCAAGACATAGCAGAGAGCTGGGTTGGAAGAGGAGCAGCTGCAGACTCCGCTACAAGCGGAGGCTTAGCCCACTAAGCCACAGCTCTGGCTTGTAGAAGCAATTTTTTTTTTTAACAAATCTGTCTTTGTGTTGGTGGCAGTTGTGTGTAATTTATATAGAAAAACAGTGTGAATCTCAAACCAAAGAAAACTCCCATAATAGAATCTTCCCCAAAGTTGTTTCAAAAGAATATAAATTTTATTGTCAAACATTTTAAGGGAGAATTAATAATTACTGGCCAGCTCCATTTGCTGAAGATAGTTAGAGGTAGAGACACAGACACAGGTAGTTCTAGTGAATTCCTATATATACCTTTAAGAAGTGGGCAAGGATCCCTCTTCTTGAAGGTTCTACTTGGCAAAGGAAGACATTTGTGAAGCGCGGGAGCACTTGAGAATTTGGAAGTCACCTATCTCAACACTGATGATGTTACCTCAACTAACTATAGATGTTGGGATAGGATTTTATTATTTTTATCATGGGGATGTGTATACTCTTTGTTTTATGTTCTTGAAAGTCTTGTATCAAGACTTGTTATAGGCTCAAGGTGTGAGGTATGAGAATTGGGGCTCAGGAACCTGTGAATTCATCTACAGGATTGAGGCTGGAAGTTGAGGTCATGTGAGCTTAGACTGGTTATGGGGATTTGAAAACCTCAGAGAGATCAAAAGCCCAGCAAAATGTAATCCTAAGGAGTATTCAGCTTTATGAGGTAGTGGTACTTCAGTTAATTCAGCTGATAAGTGAAAGTTCTAGTTTTATGTAAGACCTTTATAATGCTTAGGGTAAAGAAAAAGGATGAAATAATATGCTTTGGTTATTCATCCTCAAGTTATTTAAGATTATTCTTTTTGTCCAATTTCAGGATTGGAATTGAAATAGTACTTTTGTGAAGTGTGTGTGTGAGTGTGTGTGTGTGTAGGGAGAGTGGCCCTAGGAAGCAGCATTAATGGATCACTTCCTTTCTCCTCTGCTTTTCTCTATTCAGATGGAACCGAGCCTTCCCACATGCACTATGAGCTAGATGAGAATTATTTCCGAGGGTATGAGTGGTGGCTAATGAAGGAAGCTAAGAAGAGAAATCCCGATATTATACTTATTGGTAAGAAGTGAAGTTGCAATGTTTCTGTACTCACCTTTCCTTTAACTTTACATTCTGCATCATATTGGTGGAGTCTCTGAGCTACCAAAGCAAAGCCTATGTCAGGCACAATCCTTGCTTTGCCCTTGAGTGTTATGTTGGGTCTTTACAACATGTCTGTTGTAGGGCATCACTCTTCTTGTTTTGCAGAGGAAGCAGTGAGACTTTGAGAGCTTTGCCGCTAGCCTAAAGTCACAAATAATAAGTGGCAAAATCAGGTTTAGAACCTAATTCCATTCTGTTTTTTTTTTTTTTTTCCCTGTGATGCTAAACTGCTTACCTCAACAAAATCGCTCATCAAAATTCATGAAAGGGCAATGCTCTTTACAGAAGTTTATATGCAGTAGTATATCCTGTTCTAGAAGAGGTACATATAGAGGTGTGTGTATCTATGTTTGTGCGTGTGTGTGTTTGAAACTCAGGAATGTGCTGATAACTGTTCCTGGAACTAGGGCTATGAGAGAATCTAGTCCCTAACCTCTGTCCTTGTGGGGTTCAGGTTTGTAACAGGATCATTGGGTAATTGCTCAAATGGACCTATATTCATTTTACAATCTTTTAGCAATGTGTACAAACTCTGTAAAACTCTGTGGGTTTGGTACTTTCATCACTTGAAATACTGTTGATGTTTTGAGACAGGCTTATGTTCAGAATAAGTTAAATGAAATTAAAGATCCATTTTAAAGACTTGATTTCCATTTTTTTTAAAGATTTATTTATTTGTTTGAAAGGCAGAGTTACAGAGAAGCAGAGGCAGAGAGAGAGACAGGTCTTCCATCTGTTGGTTCACTTTCCAAATGGCCACAATGGCTGGAGCTAAGCCAATCCAAAGCCAAGAGCCAGGAGATTCTTCCTGGTATCCCACGTGGGCTCAGGGACCAAAGGATTTGGGCTATCTTCCACTGCTTTCCCAGGCCATAACAGAGAGCTAGATCGGAAAAGGAGCAGCCGGGACTCAAAACAGCGCCCATTTGGGATACAGCACTGCAGGTGGCAGCTTTATCTGCAACACCACAGCGCTGGCCCCCTGATTATTTTAAATTTTGCAAAAAAGGATAAGGGTAATATTTCCTAAATTTAAAAAAATGAGGTGTGAGTGTGTTCTTTCAAATGGTCATTTGTAGGGGATTCCAGAGATGTGTTGAACAGTTAAAGCATCACTCATTTAGCACATGTTCACCCATTGGGCTGCTTTCAAGGTTGGACTTCATTTAAATGTGGAAAATCTGCAGTGCTAAATTGAGTGCTAACAAAGACTTACACATGGTTGGCCTTTGGATTGGGCTTATTTCACTGTGTTCAAATGTTTTATTGTTTTAATGTCATATTTCTTATGTAATACATGTAGGCATTCCTCCTGAATTGAGAAAAATAAGCTTTTTTTTAATTTTGATTTTGGCTTTTTCAGTGGTGAGCTAGATTGGTAATATACTCAACAACTAAGGAACTTAACTGTCAAACTTAATAGGAACATAATTGGGATTGTTAATTAGTGTTTTTCTACTTTTCATTTTTTTATTTGCAAATAGTAGGACTTAGTATATATATAATTTAAGAAAGATATATTTCCTTATTGAGTGATTTGCATATAAGGAAAAACTTTGATTTATTTTCTAATTTTGATTGCCTAAGTGATTAATCATTTCAATAGCCTTAAATGCTAAGACGTTATTCTAGTGAAAGAAAACTTTGTGTTATACTTACTGCCTAGAAGTTATTTAGTGTAAGCCTTTTATGACATTTTGACCTCAGAGAACAGAAATTGATTAGTAAACATAACATGTAGCATTTATTTTTCTATTGGCTAGTGTCTATGAGAGAGATGTTTATATTTGTTGTTTGCTTTTTATTTCTTTTTGTTGAAAGAATATTTGGAATTATGGAAACTGATTCAAGGAATCAATAAGGAATTGCAGTGTCCATATAGTATCAGGAATTTGTGTGGGGTATATAATCTTTCCATTAGTGAGAGCTGTACTGGATTTTTGCTTAGCTGAGTGTTGTTGCTTTTTAAAAAAATTTATTTTGTTTTGTTTTCAGTAGTGCCAGCACTGCTGTTGTACCCTTCCCACGTGTGCCTCTTTCCCTCTCTCTACAGGGTTGCCATGGTCATTCCCTGGATGGCTGGGAAAAGGTTTCAACTGGCCATATGTGAATCTTCATCTGACTGCCTACTATGTCGTGAGCTGGATAATGGGTGCCAAACATTATCATGATTTGGACATTGATTATATTGGAGTTAGTAATATATTTAAAATATGACTAATTTTTGGACAATTATTTGTACTTAATCCAACTTGATTCTGCTGCTTTAAAGCTTTCTCTAGTTTTATTAGTTCTTAAAACAATCCTATCTTTCCTACACAGTTTGAAGATTATCCTCATTTTATTCTGTGAGTCTTCTGTTGTTCTCAACTAGGGACTGGCAATTTTTTTTCTTAAAGGGCATAAATATTTTGGGGTTTGTGGGTCATTTTTAAGGTAATTATATAATTACCTTAACTGTTTTAAAACTAAAAAACACTTTTAGCTCTCAAGCTGTAAAAATACATGTGGTGGGCTAGATTTCTCAGGCTGGCTTATATCTGCCTCCCTAGGTCATAAAATGTTATTTAACCCCTTTTAATATTTTAAAAAGTACAAAGAAGATATTGTGTTTTTCCAGCTGCTTTGTTGGTAGACTAGAGGCGTGCTTCAGACTGCATTGTAACCCACAGGACTTCTACATATGCATAGTGGGTCTCCGTAAACATTTTGTTATTAATATTCCATATGTCAAAGCTGACTTTCCGTAAACAATTATGGAGCTCCTGCTGTGTTGCAGGAAGTATGAATATAATGTTCTAGGAATAGCAAGGTTAATAGTTTCTTGAGTTTGGTGAGAGAAGTAGACAATGGAATGGATAAATTGCAGTGTCATAGGATGATATTGGACATGATGTTGAACCAAGGGCTACAAGAAAGTTTTTGCTATCCTTTTCCAAATTATAATTTAAAAATTGGTTGGTATTTGAGAATTTTCCTAAATGTCAAGGTATTTTTTTTTTTTTTTTGACAGGCAGAGTGGACAGTGAGAAAGAGACAGAGAGAAAGGTCTTCCTTTTTCCGTTGGTTCACCCCACAATGGCCGCTGTGGCTGGCGCGCTGCAGTTGTTGCACCGTGCTGATCCGAAGCCAGGAGTCAGGTGTTTCTCCTGGTCTTCCATGCGGGTGCAGGGCCCAGGGACTTGGGCCATCCTCCACTGCACTCCTGGGCCACAGCAGAGAGCTGGCCTGGAAGAGGAGCAACTGGGACAGAATCTGGTGCCCCGACCGGGACTAGAACCTGGGGTGCCGGTGCTGCAGATGGAGGATTAGCCTAGTGAGCCATGGCGCCGGCCCTGTCAGGGCATTTTTAATACTTAGTGAGACTAAATACAGATTTGGGACTGATATATTTCTATTATAATATAGTAACAGAAATGTTTCTTGTGAATAATCGGTGATTGATATCTCATATAGACACTTGATAATCACATGTTATGTAAGAAGCTTCTATGATAGGAAATTATTTTTTAAAAGTCTACTTTAAAGACACACACACACACACACACACACGACATACACACACACATCTCAATCTTCCATTTGCTGGTTCACTTCTCAAATGCCTGCAGCCGTTTAAGGCTGGGTCAGACTGAAGCCAGGAGCCTGGAGCTCTATCTCACTCTCCCATGTGGATGGCAGAAGCTCAAGAACTTGAGCCATAACCTGTTGCCTCCCAGGATATGCATTAGCAAGCTGCTGGATAAGAAGCAGAGGTGGCACTCCATCCAAGGCACTCTGCCATAAGGGATGTGGGCATCTCAAGAAGTGGCTAAATCTGCTAATGCCAATATGCCCATCCCAGGAAACTGTTTCTTATATCATTGGAGTCTAAAGAACTTAAGGTAATTGGACTCTAGAGTCATGGCTGTTATTTATGGTTTTATTTTCTGCAAAATGAAAGTTCTCTTTCAACTCTAAAATCCCATGCTTCATGATTCTGAATGTAACAGATTTGTGTGTGTTCCTTCTATCCATTCTCACTAGGAGTTTGCTTTTGTAATCTGGCAAATCATTGTGATTCTTTGTATGTACTTAAAAAATTTCCTTTTATACAACGTGCATATTAATACTTGGCATTCAGGTGTTCCTGTAGGAGTCTTGTCAGAATTATTGCTATAATCCCCATGTCTGTTGTTTTCTGGTGCCTAGTATAGTCCCTGTCATGCATGAATGAACATTCTGTTGTTTAAAATCTATGGAATACATGATTCCTTGAAGAATTGCCACCAAATATCTTACAGTTTTTAAAAATTACATTTTAACTTAGAAAAGTCATATTGCCTTATAAATAGCTATACATTTTCTGGCAGGATGTTCCATAAGGTAAGGAAAAAAATGGCTCATCAGGTAATATGAAAGATGATATGAGAAATGGCACCTTAATGATAATGTATGTTGTCTATTTCTGATATTAGAAACATTTCACTTTGTATTTTCTGACTTTCCGTTTTGCAGATTTGGAATGAGAGGTCATTTGACATCAGTTATATCAAGGTCTGTACAAATTTAATATCTTTCTGTCATTAAGTTATTAGTGAAATTCCCTATTGTTCCAGATTCAGAAATTTGTAGAAAATGTATGGTAGAAACAGCATCATTTTTATTGCACAGTTATTTATTTTGCTAGTTGTGACATAAAATTCAAGCACTTTTAGTAATGTTTATGTTCCTGACATTAAAGTATATATAATTCTCTGTAAGCACCAGATTACCTCTATCTAAAGAGTTGTATTATAGTTTCCCATTTAAAATGCATTCATTTTAGAATTATGATAAACATTACAAAAACAAATGTATAATTTTAGACTTTGTGGAATTCAAGAAGTGTAGCTTTTTTATTATGTTCAAAATTGTAGTATACTCATTTTTGGGGGGATGCTTATTATACAAGATCTTGTTATATGTAACATGGCTTTCTTTGAGATTAGCAAAGAGGTAGCTGCTTACATTTTCAAATCATTATTTTTGATCTACTTTTCTTAAGTGTTTATCTTATTTAACTCTTAGAATCTTCCTCATGATTTAATTTTTATTGTTGTTATTGTTTTCAGAAAAGGAAAAGCTGTATGTAATGCCTTTTGTTGAAAACAAATGGCAATTTTGCTTTTCAACTATTTCCTAGTTTACTTTTTAAGTTCCATTTGTCTGGTTTTATGCATCTTTCCCCAAGATATATAATTTTGTGGTTATACTTTTTTTTTCTGACAGGCAGAGTGAACAGTGAGAGAGAGACAGACAGAGAGAAAGGTCTTCCTTTGCTGTTGGTTCACCCTCCAATGGCCGCCGTGGCCAGTGTGCTGCGGCCAGTGCACCGCGCTGATCTGAAGCCAGGAGCCAGGTGCTTCTCCTGGTCTCCCATGCGGGTGCAGGGCCCAAGCACTTGGGCCATCCTCCACTGCACTCCGGGGCCACAGCAAAGAGCTGGACTGGAAAAGGGGCAACCAGGACAGAATCCGGCACCCCAACCAGGACTAGAACCCGGTGTGCCGGCGCCGCAAGGCAGAGGATTAGCCTATTGAGCCGTGGCGCCGGCCTGTGATTATACTTTTTGTTTTTTTAAAATTTTCTTTAAATGTAGTGTTTTATGTTTTTAAGCAGATAACATCCAATACATTTCATTCATTTGGTCATTCAGCAAGCATTTATTCAACACCTACCTGGTCAGGCATTGTGCACATTCTTGAAACATGATAGCAAATTCTGTTTCTGCCCAAAAGGCACTTACTTGAGGGGCAGTATAGAGTCAGATATGGATAATTAAAATATCTGCCATAATTTTCTCTAATAGATTAACACACAGGCAGGGTTCTTCGAATATGCACAGAGGGGATGTCACCTCTGCCTGGGGTCATTAGGGAGGTGACCAGTAGTTGGAATCTTCAAGAAGGATGGATAGAAACTTGTTCCCTAATTGCTAAGGAAGGGCCATGGGACATGCAAGGAGATGAAGACTGATAGGAAAAGGGATTGAAGGGAAAAGCAAGTCATGTAAAATAGATTAGGCAAGGGAGAGAAAAGTAGGGGCCCTGAGCCTGGTTGGTAAGCTCATGTGTTCACTGGAAGAGAGACATATTATAACTAATCTATTATAAGGAAAAAAAGGCCATAGATATGAGGGGATCTATTGCAGCCAAGACCAGGTAACTGGAGGTCAAATCCAGGCTGTAGGCTTTATCAATAGGGCAGGGGGGGTATGGTGGTGGTGGGCTGGATGATTTGGCAAGTAGGGAAGTGGAGCTAGTGCAAGACTGAAGCCCAAGGATTGTTAATGGAAATCATGACTGCCATGTGCACAGATCTGATGAAAGCAGCAGAACACAGCAGAAGCCAAATTAGTGCATGTGTAGTGTAACTCCTTAGCAAGTGGATGGTGTGGCTACAGGGTCTTAATAGTGAAGGCAATGAATTTTTCATTTACCTAAATTTGATATTTCAAAGCTCGTGTTTTATTTTTTTGTGATTATACAAGGGTCTTTTTTAATAATTTTTTTTTATTTGACAAATAGAGTTATAGACAGTGAGAGACAGACAGAGAGAAAGGTCTTCCTTCTGCTGGTTCACTCCCCAGATGGCCGCAATGGCTGGAGCTGTGCTGATGTGAAGCTAGGAGCCAGGAGCTTCTTCTGGGTCTCCCACGTGGGTGCAGGGGCCCAAGGACTTGGGCCATCTTCCACTGTTTCCCAGGCCATCAGCAGGGATGCTGGATCGGAAGTGTAGCAACTGGGACTTGAATTGGCTCCCATAGGGGATGCTGGTGATGCTGACAGCAGCTTAACCCACTGCGCCACAGTGCTGCCCCCAATTCCTGTGTGTTCTAATTAAACTTATCTGATTTGAAATACTAATTTGTGCCCTAAGATTCATTATCAGAGTTTTAAATGGTTCCGATTTAATTTCCTTTTCTCTTAAACCTTTAACTTTTCTGCAGTGAAATGCCTAACGATATAAAATTTTTTAGTTTGTTTGTCGGTTTTTTTAAAAATATTTATTTTATTTATTTGAAAAACACAGTTAGAGAGAGAGAGAGAGAGAGAGAAAGAGAAAGAGAGTCAGAGAGAGAGAAACACACATAATCTTCCATCCGCTGGTTCACTCCGCAAATGGCTGCAATGGCCAGAGCTGAGCCAGACTCAAGCCAAGAGCCAGGAGCTTCTTCTGGGTCTCCCATGTGAGTGCAGAATCCCAAACTTGCATTAGCAGGGAGCTGGATGAGAAGTGGAGCTACTGGGCCTAGAACTGACAACCTGCTATACCACACACCAGCTGTTTGCTGTTTTTGTAATAAGATTTTATTGGGATCTGTGTTTGATATGCCTATTGTAAAAAGTTCCTAATGTCAGGCTGGCGCTGCGGCTTACTAGGCTAATCCTCCGCCTGTGGCACCGGCACACCAGGTTCTAGTCCTGGTTGGGGCGCTGGATTCTGTCCCGGTTGCTCCTCTTCCAGTCCAGCTCTCTGCTGTGGCCCGGGAGTGAAGTGGAGGATGGCCCAGGTCCTTGGACCCTGCACCTGCATGGGAAACCAGGAGGAAGCACCTGGCTCCTGGCTTCGGATCAGCGCAGCGCACTGGCTGCAATGTGCCAGCCGTAGCGGCCAACGGAAAAAGGAAGACCTTTCTCTCTGTCTCTCTCTCTCACTGTCCACTCTGTCTGTCAAAAAAAAAAAAAAAAAAAAAAAAAGTTCCTAATGTCAATTGAATGTCAGTACTAAGATTGGAATGTACATTTACTATATTCCATGTATTATATTGAGATAATTCCTGGAAAGAATAGGATTTTTTTAAAAAGTAGAAATAAATATAATACTCTAAAGATAACAAGTTTATTCTTTGCTGTTTACATTGTATTAATTATTTACCTTGGCTTTCAGGGGAATTCTTAGGGTTTTAACATTGTATATGGAAAATACCATCTAGAATCTGATGTTGGTGGATTGAAATGGATTTGTGTATATTTTGGTTCAACTAGAATAGGTTCCCTTTCATTTATTTTATAAATAGGGCTTCTGTCTAAGCTTTTTTTTTTTTTTTTTTGAAAGGGAGAGTTGCACAACAAAAAACAGATTTGAAAATACATTAAACTTTGCTCAAAGAATGCTACTATTTGTACCAACTTTTGGATGGAAATTTATTTATAAATCATAGCATATAGACTTACATATTTTGAAATGTTATTCTAAATATACTAAGCACAAAAGTAAGCAATTTTACTGGTGATTGTCTAGGAACAGGACTAGAAAAACTTGATATATCTAAAGTGATAATTGCAGATTTTTCTAAGTTGTTCTCATTCCTGTCTGTAAGAATAACACTGAGGGGCTGGCGCTGTGGCATAGCAGGTAAGGCCACTAATTGCAGTGCCAGCATCCCATATGGGCACCAGTTCTAGTCCTGGCTGCTCCACTTCCAATCCAGCTCTCTGCTGTAGCCTGGGAAAGAAGTAGAGCATGGCCCAAGTCCTTGGGCCCCTGCATCCACATGGGAGACCTGGAAGAGGCTCTTGGCTCCTTGCTTTGGATAGGCGCAGCTTCAGCCATTGCAGCCAATTGGGGAGTGAACCAGTGGATGGAAGACCCCCCCAGCCCCTGCCTCTCCTTGTCTCTCTGTGTAACTCTGACTTCCAAATAAATAAATAAATCAAAAAAAAAAAAAAAAAAAAAGAATAACATCGAACCTCAGGTGATGAAAACCAAGAATGAACTGCTAATAGAGGGATAGGGAGTCTCAATCCTAGTTAATCTTGGGAGTTGTTCTCTATTTACTATGCTTTTTTTTTTATTTTTTTTAATTTTTGGCAGGCAGAATGGACAGTGAGAGAGAGAGACAGAAAGAAAGATCTTCCTTTTGCCGTTGGTTCACCCTCCAATGGCCGCTGTGGGCGGCGCACCGCGCTGATCCGAGGCGCCCCAACCGGGACTAGAACCTGGTGTGCCGGCACCGCAAGGCGGAGGATTAGCCTATTGAGCCACGGCGCCACCCTCTCTATTTACTATTAAGGACCTATTTGTCGTGAGGAGTGACCTGTTGAGGCTGCTGTTGCAGACAGTGTGAAGAATTTACCAGCAGTAGAACACAGACAGGAGTGAGCAGAGTTAGATTTATTAAAATACACTGCAAAGGAGCAGTGTGCCAGGAGTACAGCAGACTATCGCAATGTGGATGATAGTCTGGGGGATATGTGTCTGAGGCAGATTGTGCCGGCTGGAGGTTTTTCCATCACTAATGATTTCCTTATTCCCAGGGGCCAGGTGGTCTCCACATTCCCTCCAAGAGATTAGCATTGACAAATATTTAGCATTTGGATCAAGGCTTCTTCTTCTGTAACTGCTTTATGCTCAGCTAGGGACATTGCGTTGGCCTTAAGATTTGTGATCAGTCAGGAGTTTAGGGTGTCCTGGGGCCCTGGCTGTAGGGATCCAGCAGGCGTTAGAGCCTCAGGAAAGAGGGTAAGATCTGTTTTGGAAATGTCTGCCCATGTTATCCAGGAGACTGTCGG